GGCCTACACCGCCCCGGCCGATCCCCGGCCTCGCGTAGCCCGCCTCCCCGCCCGCCCTGCACCCTTCGCACCGCCTGCCGCGCTACGCGAGCCCGGGGATGCAGGCCGGGCCTGGCTTACCTTTCCAGCTGCTTTTTTTTTCTCCTCTCTCTCCTCTCCCCCCTTTCCCTCTGTTGGGCTGACAGATCAGAGTTTCCTCCCCAGCAGAGGGACTGGGAATGGGCTCGGGCTCTGTGCTGAGGAGCTGCTGCCCCCCTGGCTCTGAGAAGATCCTGCTTTTTGTGGGGAGGAAGCTTTGGGGGCTCTTTATTATTTTAAAACTACAAAGTGCTCAGAGGGTAGGTGATTATTAAGGGGAATCCCTGAATATATTCTCCAGCAAAGAAGGCAGGGCTGCTGGGGCTGCTCAAGAAGAGAGCCAGCAGCCTCCTACAGCACCACTACAGGCACTGAAAGGACATAACATCAGAGAGCGGCTCCTCTGCCCTCCAAAACAACAACTTTCCTACCATCTTGAAGGTAGTAGAGAGGGAGAGAGGGAGGGGGAAAAGAAGTACAGAAGGTTTTTATAAAGTGTCAATTTGGGGGAGGGAGCCAAATGGCCAAAACCAAATTTTTTATCATTTATGTGACTTTTTATTTTAAATAAAAATAAAACACAAAGGCATGTGGCTGAAGAAATAATTTTCTTTATAACCTGGTAAGATCAGCTTTCTGGAAAAAAAAAATAAAAGGAGGTACGGTAAAAAATATATTTTTTGTAACTTTGTTTTTCTTTAAAAATTAAAAATTCGTATTTTTTCCTGTAATTTGTAAAGTTGATCACTGTTTTGTCGTTGTGTGATAGTTCTAAAAATTAATGTGTAATTGTGAAAGTTAGTGTAACTTTTTTTTGGTACTCGTACTCTCAGTAGAACAGCTGAGATTGATGTGGGATAGTTTGGCATAACTGTACCATTACGTCTTTCTCTCATTCAAGGCATTGTCAATAAAACTGTATGTAGAGGTAGGAAAAAACAGCTATTTTTTAATTTTTTTTTTTTTCTAGAGTAGGCCATGTAGAGAAGCTATGGGGGATTTAATGCAAGTGAGTGGAACCTGCGATATGTATCTGAGAAATTCTGCTAATCTGTCATAAATTTAGCATTGTCTGCCCTTCAGGATGGGATGTGAAAAAATAAAGCTTATAGCAAGAAATTTGGAGGCAGTAGCTGAGTTTTGTTTTTAATGTTTTCAAAGCACTTTTCAGCCTTCTAAAATCTGTTTTGGTTCTTTTTAAGTTACTGTTTTGATTTGGGGGCTTTGTTCCTGATATTTATGAATACCGTTATTCCTGACTTTGTCTTTACAAAGTTGAGAAATACTATTAATTTATACTACAGTATCTTGTAATATAAAATAGTCATTGTGTTTTTCTTTGTTGCAGATGTTTTTATTAGATTGTAAAAAAAATATGAAATGCTGTCAAAACAGTGTGAGATGCTACCGTGTATCTATAGGTGAAGACACTGATCACTACATTCAGCAGACCTATGATAATATTTCTTGAAATAGGATTATGCACCGCCCTGTTCAGAGATGAACTGCAAAGATGCCTTTTTATTTGTCCTGAAGGAAGAGGAAATAATTAGGAAATTAATGAGCTATACATAAAAAAAAAAATTATTTAAGTTTTTTTCATTGTAAAGATTATTCAGGTAGTATAGGCTAATTGAACTGCAGTCAGACTAAGGTCATATGAATGAAGATATTGAATTACTTAGTATGTTATCAACCTCTCCCCCTCCTCTGTCAGATCTGAAATATGTTGTTTTAGCTCAGTTACTGTAATCTTTAAAAAAAAAAAAATAATCCTGAATTCAGATACATTCCGTGAGCGTATGTTGTGTGTTTATAGTGGGTTTTTGTTTAGATAAATTAGTTTGAATTAAAATATAATTAAAAGTCAGCTGGTTTTTGTGTCAAACTGTATATTTTTTGTTCGGCAGGAATTTTTTTAAATTATGGTTAGTCTACCTAGCATATTTTAATAATCCAGAGTGTTGCATTCTATGGAGTTATTGCATAGGAGGTGTTTTTCTGTGTCAGATTATTAATCCATAAAATGCATTATTCTGCTCTGACATTAGAAAAACAACAAAAAAAATCAAATATGTTGCTCCTGTATTCTATTTTAAAATATTTTTATTTTGTATAGAAGTAATGCCGTAATAAGGGTACTTCATAATCTTAGCAGTCATTATTGTGTGTATAATGATTCTTTTTGTAAGATATTTAAACAAAAAATACTTTTATATTCTATGTTTAAAATTCATTACAGGAATGACAGGGATTGCAAACATTGGTCATATATGGGATGATTAAAAAAAACACCTTTTGAAATATTACAGATAAATTATCTCAATGGATTCAGAAATCCAACAAATGCAGAGTAAACTAATATTTCCTTTTCTTTTGTTCTAAATAAATGAAGGACCAAATTCTCAGACCCCAGTTTGCAAGTCCTTGCAGGCCTGATTAATAATTCAGAAGTGTTTGAAGAATCACTCAATACTTTCTTGCGTAAAACTCTTACCAACTTGGTGGTGTTTTGCTAGAGTACTGAATTCAAGTTTCTGCACTATGTGATTTCTTGTATCTAGCATTATGTTAAACAAGAGAATTGCTACTTTTAACTGTAATTCAGTAGTTCAGTATAATTCAACTATAATTCAAGTTAGTTCTCTTTATTGCACTATTAAGAAATTTTTAGTGTTTTAGGAAGAGAGGCATACCATGAACAGCTGGTGTACACTGAGTCTTTCTGTGGTACTCTTGAGAATATCTGTACAGCACACTGAGGGGTATCTTAGTTGGTTGTTGTTTGTTTTTTTTTTTTAAATGGGATGCAGATGATACAACATGTTAGAGAAATGTCTGTGAAAGCACTTGAGAACCTGAACATAGAAACAATATTAAACCCTTTCTTTGGCTTATGTGCTTGACTTCGCAGATACTGGCTTTGATCGGATTACTTGCATGCCTAAATTTAAACATGCATCATAGTAGTATTACACATTTTGGTGACCTCCTGAGATCTATTTGATGTGTGTTAATTGCAAAGCCAGAAGCTTAATGCTAAGGGAAAGGAGAAATATTTTTAATCTAGTTTGGAATACAAAAACTGAAATGGGATATTTTTTAGTGTCTTGTACAAAAAAAATTGAATCTTTTTAAGGAAGACAAAGTAAAGAGGAAAAATCCACTAGATCTTAGTTACATGGACTACTGTGTAATCATTCAACAGAAAAATTAAAATCTGTATGTTACGGATGGAGGAATTTCTTTAACAAAACTTTATTTACCTGAGAGGATTAAAAGGATTTGCTTTTCAGTAATTTACTAAAAATTGCAAATATTTATTTTAATTGTTTTGCTGACAACAAAATGTTATACAGTAACACCCTAGAGGAGCAAAGTCTGCTAGCTTTAGTAATGAGGAATTAAAAGAAGATTTTTAAAAAGATTTGTTTATCTTTATGGACAAGACTCTTCTCTTTAGTTAGGAGATGCATCATTTTGATAGAGTAGAGCAGTGCTCTGAAATTATGTTGGAGAGCAAATTGAACTCTGAGACTCCTGCACAAGGACGGCATGTAAACCCAAAGCAAGAAACATCCCCTGTACAACATAGAATCATAGAATCACTAAGGTTGGAAAATGAAGAATTGTATTCTGGAAATTCCATTTCTCCATTACAGAATAGGTCTGCTGCCTTGACTTTAAAGTGGCCGCATCCCTGGACCAACCGCTCCAGACAGTAAACGTATTGTACGCTTGAGCACAGAGTGGTCAAAGAACATTAATGTTCCCTAAATCACTAGTTTCTAGCTAATGAGGCATACTTTGCTGATGTGTCTCACTGGTATTAATAGTGAGACAGAGGGCAGTGACATAGTGAATAAGCTTTGTGAGTCTAATAAAAGTAATGGAATAGATGCTTTAGGTTGTATACCAGCTACTGGATGAGCCTGCATCAAGACGTGAACCTTGACTCTCTCCCAAGGTCATACGCACACCCAGCGCAGACCTCAGGAATTTCTGGAGCGTGACTTAGACTCTGTGTCTGCAGTGAAGGGTCTGGGGTTCTCAGCAAATAGTTTTGTAATGTCAGCGTCTTGGTATTATTCCTTGAAAGACACATACATTCTGAGGAGACAGTTCCAATGTCTTAATGCTTGAGAAAGAGATCAGCAATTTATTTAAAATGCAGGTGAATATTGTGAAGGGGAGAAACAACTCTATGTGTGTAGATGTTCATCAGAGACTTTCGTATATAAAGCCACATTTCTATAGAAGATCTTGTCTTCAGGCATTTAAACACTGAAAAGGGTGACAAATTAAATAAAAACCAAAATTATGATTACACACGTTCTTCTAAGAAATGTCTTGAGCAGCAGTTTTATGTGGTATTGGTTTATTTAATTGTGGTAAGATCTGGGGTCAGGCTAACCATTAAAGCCCAGCATAATAGTATTGCTGAAAAATGCTTATTCTTGTTTTTCAGCAATTCTTTAACATGGAAATTTTATTGCAGTGCTTATCTCTAGCATACTTGGATTTCAGTTATCCTGTCTGCTGCAGTAGTATGTATTTGATAACTGGCATGCTTTTTGCCACTTTTCCAAACATTGAAGTAAGAGTCCCTATATTAAAAACATTGTCTACAGTCTAAGGATTTTTCTTTAGCAAATACACCCAAGTTATGGCATAAATTCAGTTTCTTCATTTGGCTGCTAAACCCCTTCAAACCCGTGTTTTAGTGCACTCCTACATGGCAGATAGCACAGCTGAAAGTATGGGACAAGACATATGTAGAACAGAGTAACTTTGCTTTGCTTCATTTAAAGTCATCAATGCTACCAAAGCAACACAAAGTACAGACGACTGGCCTTGTTTTCCTGAGTCTTAGGGGCTTCATTAAAGCTTATTGGAGCAATGGGAATTTTGCTGTGGATTTCAGTAGGAGTATAGTTGCGGAAGTGTTTAACCAATTGGGAGCAGACGTATGCTACCTATTGCATGATAATATAATTAATTGATAGTGAACTGTACTGAAAATAGTAATTAACTAAGTCTTAACTAATCTGTTCTTCATTATCAATGTGTATTTTAATCTGCATTAAATAAATGATATTGTCTTCCTAAAGCTCAGCAAAGACAAAATAATAAGACTATTAATTGTGGGAAGGCTGTCCAGAGTACTTGACAGACATCTGTGCAGACTTCTTTAAATAGAAGACAAATGAATGGAATAAATTGTCCCAGCAGATTGCTCTAATACAGTCCCACTTTACCGGGAAGCCCACTGTTAATTCAAAGTATACTATTGTATTTTTACTATCTGCTTCTGTCTATTGATATTTCATTAACTGTAATTGTAGTAATTAATTGTAACTGTAATTAAGCTACCCACTTTATCACCAGTCCTTCTTTCTGCTATTAGTCCAGTTATTCATTTACTTTCAGGTTAGAGGGGTCTTGGTCATCACTGCAAATTGGAAAGATGGGAATTCCCACTCTGGACCAAATCAGCGATCTCTTAGTCTTCTGAAAGCAGCCAGTACAAGATGCTTCAAATAAAGGTGTGGAA